GGTAATAGCAAATAACTTTGAGCATTCTTGTGAGAACTGTATCAGCAAATATGTTGCTATTAGTAATTGTCACCAATAAGGAAACACAGTATGTGCTAATTCTTAGATTTCTGTTGACACACTGTCAGTTCTCAAATGTAACAGTGTAAATTGTTACAATTAGTAGTAATACCTGTATTCATTTGCCAGGAGAATACTCATGGACTAATACCAATTAGCTATTTTTAGAACATACTTAAAAATGAATATATAGGTTAATATGAGCAAAAGAAGGAATACACATGCATAGATAATATCTGTCTTGTTGCTTCTGTCTAAATTTTCCATGGACTTAGGAAGTGACTGGATTTTGGAGGTGGGGTAGTAAAAGACATTGAGATTGAATGACCTGCCACATGAATATGCTCCACTTTTTTTTCTTATGGACGATTTCTCTTCTCTCAGTTGCACTACTTAGTTTTAAGATGCAAGATTCACACAGTAGCAGAAGTCTTGGTTTGTGTAGGTATTTTAATGACACAGTCCTTCAATGGTTTACTCTTTATGGTGGGAAACAAGAATAGGAAGACTCCAGAATGGGAATTCAATGTGGCTTCTAGGAATATCTGGGACAATTAGGCCCTAAATGTTCTTAAATATAAAATAAAAAGTTTAATTTGTTGTTGTTGGGAGCCTTTGAGTTGAGTGTAACTCATCCAACAGCATGTGACAGAGTAGAACTGCCCTTTTCTTCCTTGTGATCTTTATGGAAGATTATCACTAGGTCTTTCTCCTGCAGAGGCACTCCTTGACACCCCCAACTTTTAGTTAGTGGCTGGACGCTTAACCATTGCACCACCATAGCTCATTACAACTTAAACACAAGTGTTTAAATCATTGTCAAACCTAGTATCTGAGTTTTCATGTGGACATAAGATGTAAAGAGCATTACAGATTAGCTATATAATCTTTGGTATTTTGGAGATATATATATATATATATACACACACACACATAACCACACACACACATATGTATATATGTGTGTGTGTGTGTATATATGGTGGTGGTGGTAGTTATGTGCCGTGGAGTCGGTTCCAACTCATAGCGACCCTGTACAGGGTTTCTGAGGCTGTAAATCTTTACAGGAGCAGAAAGCCTCATCTTTCTCCCACAGAACAACTGGTAGTTTCAAACTGCTGACCTTGCGTTTTGCAGCTCGATTTGTAACCACTACGCTACCGCTACCTCACCTCACCTCTCCTCTCCTCAAATCTTCTCTCCTCTCCTCTCCCCTCCCCTCCCCTCCTCTCCTCTCCTCTTCTCTCTCTTTCTATATATAAAACCAAATGGCCACCACTCGTCTGTCAGTTTGTCGTACTGTGGTGGCTTGTGAGTTGCTGTGATTCTGAAATCTATGCCATCAGTATTTTAAATACCAGCAGGGTCACCCATGGTGGACAGGTTTTAGATGAGCTTCCAGACGAAGGCAGACTAGGAAGAAAGAGTGACGAGCTACTTCCAAATATTTAGTCACTGAAAACCTAATGAATAGCAGAGAAACACAGTCAGATATAGTGCCAGAAAATGAGCCCCTCAGGTTGGAAGGCACTCAAAATGCAACTGGAGAACAGCTGCCTCCTCAAAGTAGAGTTCACAGTGATGATGCGAATGGAGTCAAGCCCATGGGAGAAAAGCCCGTGGGACCTACATTTGCTGATGAGCCACAACTTAAAATGAAGAGAAACAGCTGTAAACATCCATTGAAAATTGGAACATGGAAAGTACGAAGTATGAATCTGGAAAAATTGGAAGTTGTCAAAAATGAAATGGAACGTATAAACGTTGATATCTTAGGTATTAGAGAGCTGAAATGGACTGGTATTGGCCATTTTGAATCTGACAATCACATGGTTTACTATGCCAGGAATGACAAATTGAAAAGGAATGGTGTTGCATTTATCGTCAAAAAGAACATATCCAGATCAGTCATGAGGTACAATGCTCTCTGTAATAGGATAATATCCATGCACCTACAGGGAAGCCCAGTTAATGCCACTATTATTGAAATTTATGCACCAACCACTAAAGCCAGTGAGAATGAAATAGAAGAATTCTACCAATGTCTTCAATCTGAAATTGATCAAACATGCTATCAAGATGTATTGCTCATTACTGGTGATTGGAATGCAAAGGTTGGGAGCAAAGAGGAAGGACCAGTAGTTGGAAAACATGGTCTTGGTGATAGAAATGATGCTGGAAACTGCATGATAGAATTCTGCAAAACCAATGATTTGTTCATTTCAAATACCTTCTTTAGACTACATCTGCAGAAGGAGATGAAGGAAAAGCTCCATATCATCAGTGAAAACAAGGCCAAGGGCAGACTGTGGAACAGACCAACAATTGCTCATATGCAAATTCAAACTGAAGCTGAAGAACATGAAAACAAGTCCACAAGAGCCAAAATATGACTTTTAATATATCCCACTTGAATTTAGAGATCATCTGAAGACCAGATTTGATACATTAAACACTAAAGACCGAAGACCAGAAGAGTTGTGAGATGACCTGAACAGCATCATACAGGAAGAAAGCAAAAAGTCATTGAGAAGACAAGAAAGAAGGAAAAGGTCAAAATGGATGTCAAAAGAGACACTGAAACTTGCTTTCCAGCGTAGAGATGCTAAAGCAAATGGAATAAATGAGGAGGTCCAAGAGCTGAATAGAAAATTACAAAGATCAGCTCAAGACGAGAAAGCCAAATATTACAACAAAATGTGCAAAGATCTGGAATCAGAAAAGCAAAAAGGAAGAACACATTCAGTATTTCTCAAGCTGGGGGAACTGAGGAAAAAGTCAAGCCTTGATTTTCATTATTGAAAGGTTCTCTGGGCAAATTATTGTATGATGCAGAAAGCATCAAGAGAAGATGGAAGGAATACACAGAGTCACTGTACCAAAAGGAAATGGTTAATGTTGAACCATTTCAAGAGGTAGCATATGATCAAGAGTCAATGATACTGAAGGAGGAAGTCCAAGGTGCATTGAAGGAATTGGCAAAGAACAAGGCACCAGGAATTGATGGAATAAAAATATAAAATTTTCAAGAAAGTGAGTTGACACAGGAGGCACTTAATCATCTCTGCCAAGAAATTTGGAAGACAACTATCTGGCTGACTGATTGGAAGAGATCCATATTTGTGCCTCTGGAATGCGGAAATCATCAGACAATCTCTTTAATATCCCAATGCAAGTTTAGTTTCACTAAAGGTAATACAGACACAGATACAATCATACATTGACAGAGAACTTCCAGAGATTCAAACCAGATTCAGAAGGGGCCATGGAATGAGGGATATAATTGTTGATGTCTGATGGATCTTGGCTGAAAGCAGAGAATGTCAGAAAGATGTTTACCTGTGCTTTATTGACTATGCAAAGACTTTTGATTGTGTGGAGCATGACAAGCTATGGACAACATTGTGAAGTATGAGTATTCCAGAACACTTAATTATGCTCATGAGGAACCTGGACCTGGACCAAGAAGCAGTTTGTTCTACTAGAACATGGGAACACTGAATGTTTTGAAATTAAGAAAGGTGTGCGACAAGGTTGTATTCTTTCATCATACTTATTCAACCCGTATGCTGAGCAAATAATCTGAGAATCTGAGTTCTATGAAGAAAAACGTGGCATCAGAATTGGAGGGAAGACTCTTTAACAACCTATAATATGCAGATGATACAACCTTGTTTGCTGAAAGTGAAGAGGACTTAAAACATTTACTGATGAAGATCACAGAGCACAACCTTCAGTATGGATTACATCTCAGTGTCAAGAAAACAAAAATCCTCACCACTGGACCAATAAACAGTATTCTTATTAATGGAGAAAAGATTGAAGTTGTCAAGGACTTCATTCTTCTTGGATCAACTATCAACACTCATGGAAGTGCTGTCACGAAATCAAATGACATATTGCATTTGGCAAATCTGCTGCACAAGACCTTTTTAAAGTGTTGAAGAGCAAAGATGTCAGCTTGAGGAGTAAGGTGCACCTGACCCAAGCCATGATATTTTCATTAACCTCATATCCATGTAAAATCTGCACAGTGAATAAGGAATACTGTAGAAGAATTGATGCTTTTGAGTTATGGTGTTGGAGGAGAATATAGAAAGTGCCATGGGCTGCCAAAGAACCAATAGGTTTGTTTTGGAAGAAGTGCAGCCAGAGCACTCCTTAGAGGCCAAGATAGCCAAACTTTGTCTCTCATACTTTGGACATATATATTGTCAGGAGGGACCAGTCACTGGAGAAGGATATTCATGTTTGGTAAGGTGGAGGGTCAGAGAAAAAGAGGAAGACCCCCAACGAGATGGATTGGTCAAGTTGCAGCATCAGTGGACTTAACCGTGCCAAGAGTAGTGAGGTTGGCCCAGGATCAGGCAATGTTTCGTTCTGTTGTGCATAAGGTCGCTTTGAGTTGGTATCGACTTGACGGCACCTAGCAACAACGACCATATATGTATATATGTTGTTGTTAGATGCTGTCGAGTTGATTCTGACCTATAGCGACCCTATATAGGTTTCCAAGGAGCAGAGAGAGAGAGACAGATAGATAGAGAGTAAGTCCTGGTCTGGTGGTTTAAACTCACCTGCTGCTCATCAGAAACTCTATACCAGGTCACTATGAGTCAGATCCAACTCAATAGCACTTAAGAACATTTTTATGTATATATTATGTTGTTGCATCAGCAATTGCAAGTCATGACCCTACATGGTGAGAGTAGAATTGTCTTCCATGGGGTTTTCAATGGCTGATTTTCAGAAGTAGCCCACTAGGTCTTTCATCCAAGGTTCTTCTAGGTGAACTCAAGACTCCAACCTTTCGGTTAGCAGTTTAGCAAATAAACATCAGTGCCTCCCAGAGACTTTTATATGTATGTATGAATGTACATATGTATGCATGTATGTATGTATATAAAATGCTGACCCAAGGCAAGGTGTTATTCTCACTGTTTTGGAATTCTCACTGTTCTACAATCTCTTCTATAAGAATAGCATAGGAAAGGAGACACCTAAGATTTTTCTACTTCATTTGAGTCCAACATGGCTCAAAATAATTATGATCTCATTGTCCATAGGTAAATTTTGGGTTCCTTGATAACAAAATGTGATACAGGGATGAGAGACATTTAATGCTGGCACAGTGGGGCAGCCTTGATTCAGGCTGTTGACGTGAGCCAGCAGAACCTTGTTGGAGTCCTCTGACCACCATTCCAATGCTCAGGTAGTTGACACTCAGTCCATGTTTTTATTTCATTAATAAAATACAACCTCACATTCCTTATGTAATCCTGAAAGGTGAGGATACATTTGTTGCAAACTGCATGCAGATAAAAGGGAGATTCCTTTTGAAACTACATCATCTTAATAATAAATATTTTTTAAATCTACTATACATAACAGTAGAGCATTTCTTGTTAAAACAGCAAGCTTTTTTTTTTTTTTTTACCAAAATGAAAAGAAAACATTCATTTCTTTATAAATATTTTAAATAGTTTAAATACATATTTCATACCAAGGATATAAAAATAGCCTTTTTGTGGATAAATAAAGACATTTTCATTTACATGGCAAATGACGTGCAATAGCTAACCACTGGCCACCAGCTCTATTTGACTGATTGTCTAGGAGATGACATGCAGTGATAATTGTCCCTTTGCCTTCACAAAAAGAAAATAGATCAGCAGGAGATGTGCACACCCGAGGCCAAGAGTGCTATGGATATTGTTCAAGAATGACAAACAGGCACTCAGGAAAAAAACCTTCACTGTGGTTCACAAAAGCCACCTAGGACAAGACTAATCCACAAATTCTTTGTCTGGGACTTCTAGCTGCTCAGACCCTCAGGGTCTTTGGAAGTTTATTAAAGTCTGTCAAACAGACCAGTAAGTTAATACCTGTACAGGAAAAAAAAAATGTTTCTATTATGCTTCTAGGATCTAGAAATTGTTTGCTGCAGTGGTTCTGCCCTTCCCTGGTTCCTCACACTCCATTTTGCAGAATTACCTATTTATCCAGTCCTTGTGCCTGCCAAAGGCAAAAAAAGGCTAATGAAAGCTGTCATGCAGTAAGTTGGGTTGAAATTGGCAGCTGCGTGTCACATGTGCTGATATCATACATTTATGGCTTTGCTATCTTTCACATCCGCTGTGCTTGTGGCAACTTCTAGTGGAAAATTTTCCAAGGGTTTAGTAGCAATGGAGGCCATTCCTTCCTTGTCCCAAGATCCCGGCAAATTTTCCAGACTGAAGGAACTGACTGCTGTGTGGCTGAAGCTACTCTCTTCTGATCTGCTTGGGAGGATCAGATGCAAAGATGTTTCTGAGGAGGAGCACACAGAGGATGAGAGTGTCGCTGAGATGGACTGCAGAGGTGTCAGAGTGGTGTCTGAATGTGGAGAGATGCACCTTAAAAGTTGTAAATGACCTTCTTGGACAACCTGGTAGTGGGAAGGTGAATAATCAAGGTCTGGAGAATGATAAAGTTCACTGTCTATTGGATTTTGCTCACAAGCTCCAGTTCTCTGTGGGCTGATCTCCACAGAGGAAGGATCCACATTCCAAATGTCTGAAGTGATGTTTCCATGACAAAGTTGTGCTTGAGTATAAGCAGCTCCACCTGCTTGCAAGTGTAGGCAAGGTTGGTGAGTACTCCAGGTCATCCTGGTCTGTAAGCTCTCCCTGGGGGGACATACTGAGGCTGTGTGCAGAGAGCAAAGCCTTGATGGCTGCTGGGCTGACAGAACATTTTCCAGAAGTTGTATCACATTTCTCATGTCTTTACCTAACTGGGAGACCTCCTGAGTCAACGTGGTTACCTGTGTGGATGAAGCAAAGCAAAAGGCAACAAACAGTTAAATCATGGCAGTGTGATTTTAATGAAATGAGCCTGAAAATGATATTAATCAAGGATATGGTCCACAAGGCTACTGCAATTCCAAACAAGCCCAAGTGGTGGATGGACATCTGAATGGACATGCAAAACCTAACCTTCTTTTGAGGGACACTAAAAAGAAAGGTGTCATTGGGTTGACTCCCTCTCATGGTGACCTCCTGTATATAGGAATACACTCCATAGAGTTTTCATTGGTATACTTTTCAGAAGTAAATCATCAGGCCTTTTTTCTCAGGTGTCTCTGGGTAGATTTAGCCCAACACTTAAAACATTTGTGTCAGAAACTACTGAGAAACACAAGGGAGACATAACTAGTCTAGAATTCCTTATCAGAGATTTTGGGATTCTTGTACAAAATTAGACATGTAACTCTGTCATCTCTTATCTGTCTTAAATGTTGATGCCTATCTTCTACTTCTCTGAAGAAGTGAGATGAACAACATGTTGCAAAAATCATCCCAGACATCTGAAAATGATGTGGAGTGGTGGATATTGCAGGTCACGTACTCAGCCCAGTCCCTACCCAGAGTAGACCACAAGTAAATAGCAACTCTTACTTTTGTCTTCTCTGGTTGAGATTTATACATACTGTAGTTCAAGGGGCAAAAGCTGTAAAAAGTAGGAAAGAAATCAAAACATCTGACAGGTAGGTAAGTACAGGTAAACACTGTGAGACACTTGGGAGTCTTTGGGTCTGTTGGTGAACTCAGAACCCCACAAAATTATAACCAAATTGTGTGGTATGTGCTTTGTTCTATTATCTAGTTAGATGCTTAGCTTTCATCAGATTTTCAAAGGGGGCATGGAAAGGAATATCTAAAGTCTGAAAGGTATGGCAGGTATGCCACTTGAAGGAGCTATCCCTTGAGTGATTTCCATTGCTAGATATGAGATCATTAAGCAACTTATAACTAATACTAATATTTGAGAGCTTCCATCAGTCAAGGAATGTGTGATCTTTCCCTCTCTCTGAAATGCTAATCTTTGCGCAGTCACTTGTATCTCCCAAATTGTTTGAGTCCAAAGGGGAAGACATAGACTTATTTCTTGCTCTCTAGCCTGGGTTTGTACGGTTATGAGATTTGGAAAAGCAGTATCAAGAAGATTAATCAGACTGCTTTTCATTTCTCATTTTACACCCCTTTAAAAGGCATCATTGATGGCGTCAAGTGTGGCAGTGATAGTGAAGTTGGCCCAGGATCGGACATTGTTTTGTTTTGCTATGCATGGGGTCGCTATGAGTCAGTTTCGACTCGAAGACACTTGACAACAACAACAACAACAACAACAAAAGCTCCTGTCATTCTTCCTGTTCTCCCCTTTGGTGTGGCTTTGACTCATTGCAGGCTTGTCTTACAATCCACCTGGCCATTTCTCCTCCTCCGCACCATCCTACTTCTGATTCAGAAACATTATGCTCTTTTATAGCTGGGTGGGCCTAGTTGAGGGCATGAAAAATACTGGTGGCCATAGACCTGGCCCCTGTACAAGGTATTCTCTTCAGGAAGTAATTTGCGTATAAGATTCCCATACTGCAGGCTCTGGTACTGCCTTTGGTTGGAAGGTCTGGGACTGCTCTGATGAGTGTAGAAAGAGAAGAAACTGGAAAAAATGACTTTGAGCACATCATAGAACAATTTTCGTCAGTGACAGCAAAGAAGGTATAGTTGTAATTTTCATAGACTGCTGAAATATGCTAAACAAAGGATTAACAAGCTTGAGTAGTATTTTTTAACTGATACTATGGAAAAATTGTAAGATAGATGTTAGATGTTGTGTCCCTTGCCAAACATCTAATACCTACATCTCTGGGACATTACCTCTAATCGTAAGAATCACCGAGGAGTCTTGAACACTTTACATTTAAAGTCATGAACAAAATTCACTAGTAGATTTATTTTCCTAATGACCATATAACTTTTTTAATCATGAGAGACTACCATAAAATGGAATTTTATTCAAATCTAACTTTTCTGGAGTGTGTGAAGACCTTAAAACATCTGTATTTCAGAAAGCAGAACACAAATAATTTCTAATATAGCACTAACACAATATTACAATATGTTTACTTTTATAGTACTTTATATTACATAAGGAATTTCCAAATGATTTAGTGGTAATATCATGAATCACCAATCTACCATAAATAGCTGATCTCATTGGATAATATCCATGGTAGATATGTCTGGGGCGGGGGAAGAAATTCAACCTCAGTAATGATACTAAAGGAGTCCTGATGTGATGCTGGAGGATAAGCACTGGACTGCTGACCATAAAGATGTTCAAACCTACCAGTCACTTATTGGAAACCAGATACAGGGTCACTATGTTTTAGAACCAATTCAACGGCACTTAACTACAACAGCAGCAATATTAACACTAAGATTATGTTCTGAGCAGACTTGCTTCAACATTTAATATTTATATTTATAATTCATCTGAAACTAATTCTCCTTGGCAGACTCACTGGGAAGTTGTTGTTGCTAAGTGCCTTAGAGTCAGTTCTGACTCATAGTGACCTTGTATAGAGTTTCTGAGGCTGTGCATCTTTGAGGGAGCAGAAAACCTCACCTTTCTCCAGAGGAGCAACTGATGAGATTGTGCTGCCAACCGTGTGGTTCCCAGTCCAGTACTTTTCATACAATCAGAACCTCTTAAAATTAGGCATTAAAAAATGTCGTAGGGAACTGTGTTGAAATTGCCAGGCCAAACCCTCCTGCTTTGACCCTGACATGGAATTCATTTTAAACAGAGAAAAAGATGTACCTCTGAAGAAGAAAAGCAGTGAATCTGAGAAAGATTCAGTGTTTTGAAATTTTCACGCCAGGTTCTCAGTATCATCATCTGTCAAGCCTCCTATCTAAAGTGCACGAATCCCACTTAAGTCAGAAGGCACTGCAGACATTCACCCAAGGCTTCCATCTTGAATTGATTAACTCTTTTACCAGCAATTCTGAAGAGAAGGCTGACACTAAAATGAGATGTTCTAAAATTTATTCTCATATCAATCTAAAACTAGTTGCTCAGGGCTACATTAACTTAGCTCCCCCAAAAATATTCTCAACTGGCCATTTATTAATAGTTGAATTAAGGCTTACCTATTGAAGAATAATTTTGCCTTTAGGACACCTCAACAATTATGTTCTTCAATAAATGTTAGAGTAAATGTCTTATAAAAGTTCTTTCAGTTACATTTTCCCTATTGGCTCCCAAATAGCCCTAAGGCAGGGAGAAATATATTATCATTTTCCTATCTATAAAATAGGAAAACCAACACCCAGGGGCTAACTGACATTTATTGTAAAGGTCCCTATTTCATCAGCATTATGGAGTCCAGGTATGGTACTGTAGAATAAGCCCTGATTGCTAAGGTCAAGGTCATTAATTCAAACTCACCAGCTACTCCTAGGAAGCCCTATAAAAGGTCCTGTGAGTCAGAACTGACTTAACGGCACTTAACAACAACAATAACATTTCATGAGCACTAGTGTCTGGTTTTTCTGTAGTAATAGAGTATCACATGGAAAAGAAGTGAGAACGTTTTGCTAGTGGTTAGAATTTATGAAGTGCACTGATGATCTAAAGAGGTAGCTTCATGGGTAAAAAAGCTCTCTGAAATTGTAACAGAACATCATAAAAGTAAACATTGTCATTTCTAAGTTGGAAAGTTGTTGATCCACAGGAAAATCACTTAATAACTTACTAAAAAGCAACCAGTTGTTGAATTGATGCTGTCTCTTGGCAACCCTACATATTTCAGAGTAGAACTGTACTCCGTAGGTTTTTCAATGGCAGTTTTTCTGAAATAAATTGCCAGAACTTTCTTCCAATGTATTTCTGGGTGAACTTCAACCTACAGCCTTTCAGTTAGCAGTCAAACATATGAACCATTTGCATCAGACAAGGAATACAGATCAAATTATATCAATAAATTTAAAAAATGATTTGCTAGAAAGGAAATCTGGAACCAATGAAAATGTTAACACAGGCATTTCTGAACATTTTTTCCCTAAATTTCAAATAAACAGATTCACACACTTTTGCAATAGCAATAAAAAGAATAACCGATGAATGGTTATATAGGTAGACACATAAGCTGAACAGGAGTAGAAAGGTGAATGTGACTTCACCCATGAATATCTATAATATACTTCTACATATGTATTTACATGTGCTATAAATATATTCATGAATATAACAGAGCATACAGGGGTCAAAGTTGAGGAAACGTCTTAGACATAGCCAAGCACCCTGAGGGAATGAGTCTTTGGACCTTGGACCAATGTTTCATGGGAAATCAAGGTCAATTAACATAGCACAGTCCAAAATCCTACTATGGAGTCCTGGTGTGGCGCTGTGGGTTCTTGCCCTAGACTGCAAAGTTGGTTTGAACCACAAGGTCAATGGTTCAAACTCACCAGGTGCTCCTCGGAAACCCTTTACAGGGTCGCTATGGGTTAGAATTACTCAATGACACTTAATAACAGCAACACATCCTACTGTGGTAAGTAGTGATTGGAGTCTTAAAAGCTTATGACTAGCCATCTAAGGTGCAACTACTGGTCTTTTCTTACCCAGAACAAAAAAAGTAAAGAAATCAAAGACATGTGGAAACATTTAGTCCAAAGGACTAATGGACCATGTAGCACAGCCTCCATAAATCTGAGATCAGAATAACTGGATGATGCACAGCCGACTGCTCTGAAAGGGCTCCCAGTAGGAAGTCCTGAATAGAGTGGGGGAAAAATGTGGACCAAAACTCAAAAAGACCAGGCTTACTGAACTAGTAAAGATTGGTGGTGGAACCTCTAACACTATGCCCCTTAGACACCCTTCAGGTCAGGAACTTAACCAATAAACCATACAAGATCAAAAGAGCAGTTTTTATCAGAAATAAAGCTCAGAAGGTAGGAAGGGTTAGGA